TTTTTTTTTTTTTTTTTTACTTTGTATTGGTTTGGTTCATGCTTCACGGTTGTTTATGGTTTATATGATTACACGAATTTTTCAAATGTGGTGTAGGTTATAGCTCTCATTCTCCTAAGCATCAACGATCTGACGCATGGAAACTTGTCCAAGCCATCGTCGAAATAGCTGTGAGGAAATTCATGGACCAATTTCCAATACTGTGAATTGTCGACACAGAAAGTACAGTTTGGGACGCAGAGTATCTACAAGCACCGGCCCGCTGCACATGCATGCCGCTTTTACAGACCAGTTAAAAGTTACCATTCTTGGCCATAATCACGTGCTTGTGTTTTGTTTTGGTTTCCATTTGAGCGACTGGGCCGCAAATACCCCTTGTCACCGAAATACATCCCCTGGTATGACTCTATAAACACTCAATTCACCGGAATAAATTGTCTAACAGAACCGTATATTGCTTTGCTCGACTGTGCCTTCCGATGTAGTCTAGAGCTTCTCCTCGTCTGGCGTTGTGCCAACTCTTTCCCATTCAGAAATCCACCCCAAGCCACTCTATCGCTCCACGGTGTGACCCATATTGGCACCAAAATAATTTCCGTACCGTAATCTAAACGTCTAATAACTTTGCAACGCTAATACATGGTGATCAGCTTGCTATAGACTCCCTCGTCACTCTGCGCTGCCTTTGTCCCGCTTGCTGCGGGATTTCCTGTTTTGGGCCCGAGTTACCCTGCACAGAAAATTTCTCACCGCAACAGTCATAAATATCCTACACCCGCCCCCTCCTGCAAATAATCCCACCCTCCTTTTTATTCCTTTCACAACAATCTCTTATCCTACACATAGCTGTATACAGGGATCTCTAACACTCTTTGCTAACATCGTACCAACCATCATGTCCAACAACGTGCCCCACGACCAGTACCTCGCGCAGCAGGCGCAGTTGTACAACTCCGCACCGGCGTACCAGGCGTACGGTAGCGGCCTTATTGCCAGCGAGACCTTGAGGCAGGGCTCCCAGAACGACGTGCACCTCGGCAACAATCTCGCAAACATCCTGATGGGCGACGGAATGCACCTTCCGCTCGCGACCGCAGCGGTGTCGGCGTCCGCTCGCGCGAGCAATAATCAGCCGCCAAACCAGCAGTTGATCGAGCCAGCCACCAGCCAGCCAACGTTGAAGTCGTCGTACAAGCCGAATCAGGTGATTGCGCAGTTCCCGGAGAAGGAGCAGTTGAAGGCATTTGTGAAGAACACGTTGTCCGGGATGGAGAAGTGCAACGTGGTGATCAACTCGTCCAAGTCGTACGCCATTTACTTCACGTGCGACAAGTTTGGCAACTATCGTACCACCGTCAAGGGCGACCGTAAACGCAACGGGTTCTCCAAGCGTGTCAAGTGTCCGTACCGCTTGGTAGCGAACTACAAGAACGACCTCTGGATTTTAAAGATGGTCAATGGCGAGCACAACCACGGGATGATCGACCGCAGCAAGAACTCCAAGCGCGGCGCCCGCAACAAGGAGCCGATTCAGGAGGCAAAGGTGATGAACAAGCTCATGGGCTCCGACATGGACACCATTCTCCAGCAGCAGCAGTTGCAGCACCATCACCACCAACAGCAGCAACAGCAGTACCAGCAGCAGCAGCAGCAGCAGTACCAACAGACGTTGAATGAGTTTAACAACTTGGCGCAAGGCTCGCTTCGTATGGTGCAGGGCGTACAGGGGCAAAATGCGTACCTGCAAAACGCGACAGCTGACAGCGCCAACATTTTCACCAGCGGAAACGCGGGGAACAACTCGATCTCAACGCTTTTGAGCGCCGCGCGTGAGGAGGCACACGGTGAGAGCGCGCGGCCGCTTGACCAGCACAACTATATCGACACACAGTTGCAGCAACAGTCGGGGATGTTTAAAAAGGAATAGGCGTGATCCACAACAACCCGCGGAAGATGTAAAGCGTCGGACGCGGTAGAATATTGTAATATATGAGTAGTAATAAGCTACAAGATTGATGTTAAGGCAGGTGCTAAAATAGTACAGTGGTATGCGTAGGCATTTACTATTCGGAGCATACGCCAAGTCGGTAGGAGGCACCGGACCGGATAGAGTAGGCGAGATCTTGCATGTATTCTAAGAGACACCGATATTAAGCACTAGCCATAGAATATTCGCTCCCTAAAGCTGAGTCAGCCTGATCATACATTTAATGCCTGGCCCTCTTCTTTCCCGGATACTTTTTGAAGGATTTTATCAAATATTAACAGGACATTGTCGATTTGGAGTATGGCAAATACCGAATAACGCTGGCTATGGGACTATCTAACAATGGGGCAGGAGGGCCGGCCACTTTGCTTGACCGCTCTTACACTTTAATGGCTTCGGAAACCCCATCTACCACCAGCCTCTAACAGAATCTATATCTACAACACATTAATAATAAATATAAGCGGGTTGTAACACCGTATAACACATAATAAAAAACATCAAGTATGGGTCTGGACCTCTTTCTCCTCCTTACCGCTGCCACCTCTGCCACGACCACGACCCCTGTTAGACTTACCACGGCTCTTTGGCTTTGGGATGCTTTCAGGAGACGGGGCGCCGTTCTCACCACGCAACATGGAGGTCAACTCCTGGGAAGCCGCGATGTTCGCTGGCGCCTGGAACGGCATTGGAACACTCACTGGCGCCACACCGTGCGACATGACGTCATTGAAGATCTTACCGTATACCTGCTTTACCGCGCCGTCGTGCTCAAGCGTACTAACCTCGGCGGAGGGATCGGTAGGCTCGGAGACGTTCTTCTTCTTGGTGAGAATGGACAAGAGTTCTTTCTTGGAGTCGGCAACCAAAGCCTCTTCGGCGTTAGTTTTACCGTTGACCTTGCCAGTGACCTTACCACTCGCCTTGAAAGCCTTCGGCTGCGGAGCCTTCACTGCCTTTGGCAGAGTCTTTGCCTTTGCCTTCTTTGCCTCCTTCTCCTTCGACGCCTTGCTATGGAAAATCAACTGCTTGTACGAAATATTCAACAACACAGACGAATCCAAGGACAACCCTCTGTTGGTTCTCAATCTGCCATCCATGTTGCTCCCCGACATTAACGCGTCGTCAAAGACCACCTGGACGGTAACCTTAGGCCCCACGCTGGTAACCCCAACGGCCGTACCCTTGGAAAAGACAGGTACCTTCCCGGATGCCTGCACGTACACGACTCTGTCACCCAAGTTGAACCTCTGGGTGGTGAGCAACTGGTGCGAGGAGGCCGGATCGAGAATCGCGTCTCTAGGCACGTTCTTGAGCCCCTTGGTGGCTGTTGGCGGTGGGTTGGCGCGGTAGGCCTCGATCTCGTTCTCAACCACGCTGATCCCCATTCTGGTCAATGCGTCGCTCTCCAACGAAACTTGAATAAAGCTATTCTTGACGTTTCTAACCCAGGAGACCACTTTTTTGATTTCCTGCTCCAACAACTTCAGGTCGCTGATCTGGAACAACTCCTTGGCAGTCGGCACGTTGCTGCGGGAGGCCTGCAAGTTGGCCCACAACTTTGGGAACTGGTTGGCGTACTCCTTCAAGAGGTTCACCGCAACAAAACTAAACTCCCAACCGCGGTCGTTACGCCTGGTGTAGCCCAAAACCTTGAGACGCTTCGCCTCAAACTTCAACTCCAAACCGATATTGACTCTGCCGCCCTTTTCGTTCTCAATCATGTAAGACGATGTGATCTTGGACAAGAACAACGGGTGGAGGTGAAGCCGTTTGGACACCTCGAACGACTGGAAGTACCTGATGTCGTGTCTCTCCTTGTCCGCCACAAAATGTCCGATCTCCGGCTCCTCTGGACACGTGCTAAGGTGGAGATTGACAGTGTTGGTCTCGAGCGAGTGCCCGGTGATCACCGCAGACGACCCATACGCCATGGAGCCCTTGTACACTACGGTGGAATTCAACGGGAACTCCTGGTCGATTGGAAGCGCCTCTCTTTCCTTGTAACGATGATCCTCATTGGTCACGCCTTTGACAATCAACTGGATAGGGTACACTTCCTCCTGCTTGGCAAAGGTCTTGGTGTAGGCACCCTTGCTGGTGCGCATCAACCCGGAAACCGGCTTAACAAACACCAACGCCTCAACGCGCCCGAGATGGACCCCCTTGGTCTTAATGTACGCACTGACGGCGTTGTTCTTGGTCATGTTGTACTGTCTAACGTCGTCAATCGGGTGCCCCACCACCTTCTTCCCACCGGCATGTTTCACCTGCTCGTACGCAAACACACCATCCTGGACACTCACCACCTTGACCTCGCGCAAAAACGGCCATCTAGCATAGACAATCTTGCCGACAAACTTTTGCGCAAACTGCTCCGGCAGGAGTGCCGCATAGGCGTTTTCGATCGACAACACCATCGACTGGGAGCGTGATGGCTGCTGGAACACCAAAGTGCTGTTCTGGGCCAACTTCGCCGAGAACGTAATAGAGTGCAACGACGGGAAACCGGCCAAAGCCTCGGTCCCAAGCTTGGCACCGTCGCACAAGCGGGAGAGAATAGGGAGCCCCTCGACCGACGGAAGCTTGAACTCGTCTTCGATACAGTGATCATGCTCAATGTCACCAAACACACCCGGCAAGGAAGAGCCGTAAACCCTGTCGGACTGCGGGTTGTAGGCAAACTTCAAGTCCTTGCCAAAGGAGTTGCGGAACTTTTCCTCCGCCGATAACTGGTTATCGTACTTGCTCATCGCGGCCACGAGGCGGTCCTGTTCGACGAAAGACAACTTGACGACGGCCTCCCACTCGGCAGTCTTGCCGTTTTTGTCCACCTCCACGTCGTTCGGGTAGAAATCGATGATCGGCGATCTCTCGTCAAGCATCAACGGTCTGTAGCAGGCTGGGATGAGGTTCGACGATCTGGCCGGCAACACCGCCATCAACTGCTGGAACGGTCTGAACGGAACCCCCATGTCGAAGTTGATGATCACGTCCAAGCCGCGTTTGATGTCGGAGATACGTGGCGCGTAGTGGTACTTGTAGTACCATGGCCACGATTGACACCCCTGGTAGTAGTAGTACAAGACCCACTGCAACCCCTCGAGATAGTTGTGGGTCAAGTCTTTGATCTCCTGCTCGTTGTCAAGGGTGAATCCGAACTTCTCCTTGTAGTATTTGTTCTTCCAGGCAACAAACTTGGCGTCGTAGAGATCGCGCTGCTCGTCGAGCACGTCGCCGCTCTCCACGAGAATGGCTGACTGATAGCGCTTGATGGCCTTTCTGACGTCGTTCAAGCGCTCCTCGGCGTCCTGTTCGGTCTCGTTTGGATCGATACCGTCGATGTCAAGGCGCGCGGTGTAGGTGTCCTGCGACCTTGAGTGAACCACAATGAAGCCAAGGTCAAAGGCAAGCTTCTTGACAAACTCCATGTTGTCTCTGATCTCCTCGGTCGGCAAAGCGAGCGACGGGATCTGGTCCTCGGCCGAGGCCGGGTCAACCTTTTCAGCCACCGCAGCTGTGATCCACGGCTTGATGACCCCGACAAGCTTCTTCTGCTGCTTCACCAATAGCATCTTGCCCTGTCTATCGCGCTTCTTCTCCCCGGAAATGGAGATGTTTTCCAACTGTCTGTTGAACCACTCGATATCCACATCTACGCGCTCAAAGTTTTCCAATTCAAACACAGAGAGGTATTCGAGCCAGACAGCCAAGCGCTGGAAGTCGATCGTACCGTTCTCGGTGAGATACCCTTCAGACTTGCGCATCGCCTGTTTGAAGGTCTCGATCAACAACGGGAACGCACCTTTGTTGATGTGCAAGTCCGGGAGGTTCGGAAGGAAATCGTTCCCGATCACGTACATGATCAACATAAAGTCATCCAACACGCGCTCAAAACTGTACGGGAACGAGAGGTCGGCCGCTACATCCGCAAACTCCAATTCCATGTACTCTCTCACCAACGAGAGGTGGAGGAGGTAAAACGTCTGCTCGGTGACGTCGTTCGTCTTCTTGGAGCGCGATCTGCCAAAGGTCACCTCTTCACGGAGTAACGAGAAGTGCGGGTCGTGCGAAATTAGCCCCAACATGATCAAATCAGCATCTAACCCGTAGATACAATGCCTTAAGTTTGGATTATAGCTCGGCTGCGCCTTCATGGTTCTGATATACTCCATGATCTTGTGCTCACCCTCACCCGGCACCTCGTGCCCCGACAAGACGATCTCAATGTTCTGCCAGTCGGCATCCTCCGAGAGCTTCTTGTGGATAAAATACTTCAAGTTGGTGGTGAGTTTGGCCATGAACTCGGTCCCCGGGGTAATGGAGTTGGAGTCAAAGGCCGGGTCCTTAGGGATCTCCAAGCCGTCCTCGAGCGCCTTTTCATGCAACTTCTCGGCCTCAACGGCCGTTCTGAACCGTCTTGACCGCTGTTGGTTCATCTTGGCCCGTGGGGCTACACCGTCAATGGCCATGTAGAACACCTTTTTCGGTTTGATAGTATGGAACAAATGGTCGATGTAGCCAAAGATCGCTGCGTACATCTGCTCTTCTGAGAGCGAGGCCGTGAGGTCCGCGTCATTGGAGTGGGTGCAGGTGTGGAGAATGGAGTTCATGTCGAGGTAGAGGTTGTCGAACTCGGGGATCTGCTGCCCGTCCACGAGCTGCGAGATCATCGGCCATCTCTCCGAGATGAATCTGAAGAATTTTGGAATACCTGGAGGTTAGTATGGATTCGAAGTCATCGAGGGCGTGAGAGATTGTAATGTAGAGGCGCAAGCATTTGGGAAAGCTTACACCGTGGAAGTCATGGGTAAAGCCGCGAAGGTTGGTGGTTGGGGGAACTGCTGGTGAAAAACTTTACAAGCTTTGTAGCATGAAAAAAGTTTTCCAAGAGCATCAACCCATGCAAAGGCTCGGCAAATGTCATGCTAAGGAGGTTCAAGATTGGTGCACAAGGCAAGCATTGTCAAAGGCATAAAGGTTTGTAGATATTGATAGAGCACAGTGCCCCTCACCGGAGCATTCCTGCTACCAGTCGTTCATAACTCTTCATCGGCGCCTTTAATCGCTTTCACTTGGTTCCTCTCTATCTTTTTGTCCATTCAATTCTCCTCAGTTTCAAGTCGCCATCTCCTCTCCGTTACCTGTCTTTGTCGTAAATCCACATACCCATTGTAAGCTTTCTATTCTTTAACTAACACTTCTTGTCCTTTCTTTTTCTATTTCGATGCAAACGTAGTAGTACAATGAAGGCAAAAAAAAATAAACGAGAAATATGTGTGGGTCTTAGTGGAAGAAAGCAAAAACGGCTGCTTGCGTTGTTAAATTTCATGCCTGTTAGCCGCTGTAGTGTGGGCGTCAAATTCGCACATCTCTTTGGAGGGTAACCTCACGTGTCAGTGCAGGAAAAAATCACAACTAAACGGTAAATACATTGCTAGTCTGAGGGTTACAGTATCATAATCGGTGAGGCAGAATATAACCATGTTTGGGAGTATGTAATGTCAAGAGGTCAAACGGTAAATAGTGGGGAAATGAATATTTTTGTGAATCTCGAAAATGCTCCCCATTGCCACTATTGCAAATACTAACCGTATAGGCGGACTCAATACAGGAAGCAACACGAATGCGTTTGGGGCCAGCGCCACCAAACCAACAGGGTTCAGTTTCGGCTCTTCAGCCCCGGTCCAGCCACAAGCCAACTCCACGTTTGGTGGCAACACGGCATCCACTGGTTTTGGCGCCGCCAACAATGCGACATCCACTGGTTTCGGTGCGGCTAATAACACGACTGGTGGTTTTGGTGCCAATAATGCGACATCCACTGGTTTCGGTGCGGCCAATAACACAACTGGTGGCTTTGGTGCTAACAACGCGGCATCCACTGGTTTCGGTGCGGCCAACACGGCTAGTGGCTTTGGTGCGGCTAATAACACGACCAGCGGTTTTGGTGCTAACAACGCGGCATCCACTGGTTTCGGTGCGGCCAACACAGCTAGTGGCTTTGGTGCGGCTAATAACACAACCAGTGGTTTTGGTTCTAATAACGCGGCATCCACTGGCTTCGGTGCCGCCAACACGGCTAGTGGCTTTGGTGCGGCTAATAACACAACCAGTGGTTTTGGTGCTAACACCGCTGGCACCGGCTTTGGTGCGACCAACACTGCTGGAGGTTTTGGTGCGGCTAATAACACAACCAGTGGTTTTGGTGCTAACACCGCTGGTACTGGCTTTGGCGCCAAAACTTCCACCGGCTTTGGCGCCAACACCTCTGGTGGTTTATTCGGTGCCAAGCCGACTACCAGTCTCTTTGGCTCCATGCCCACCACCGGATCTGGTGCTGCTGCTCCTTCCACGGGCCTATTTGGTAGCAACGCCTCTGGAAACACTTTGGGGGGTCTCTCCCAGCAGCCTCAACAGCAGTTACAACAGTTGAATTTGAATGCCATGACGAGAGTCGGGGACTTGCCGGACGCGATTCGGCAGGAAATTGAGGCGATGAACCGCAGCATCCAGCAGCAGGTGAGCACGGCTGAGCGGTTGACAAACGACGAGGCGCAACACAGCGAGTTGATCACCTCCATCCCTCGCGATATTGAGTACTTGTCCTCCAAGGTTATCTCTACCAACCAGGCCCTTAACCAAGACGTAAAGAACTTGGCCAGTTTGAAGAGCTTGTGCGACGACGTGGTGGCGGACAGCGAGAAATTGTACGTGATTATCAAGCAGTTGAGCACTCCCGGTACCCGCATAAACTCTAATGACCTCAACAACTACTTCTTCAAGAAGATCGACTACTACACAGCCAAGTTGGCCGAGTACGCCGCTGTGGTGAACAGCAGTGAGGAGGCCGTCAATGGGATTGAAAGAGACGCTGTTGAGGGGATCGGTGGGATGAACGCAATCATTGGTGTGTTGCAGGAGCAGTACAGTTTGTTCATGGAGTTGTCCAACGCCATGGCTGAGATTCATCAGGAAACTAAACAGGTCTCCTCCCTCATCAGAATCTAGAGCCTTAGGGGTAAAACTTCCGACCAGAGCTTCTGACTTGTATTTTTAGCTGTATTAAAGTATCATTGTATTAAATGTTTGAGAGGGGTTCCAAGAGGACATTAAAGAGTATTAAATATATGGCAAGTATCGCCTACATAGAAGTTATTATCGGAGCCCTTATGCAGCAAAGCCCAGCTGATATTTTACTAGCCACCTATTGTCTTATTGCACCAGCTTACCAGATAATGTAGTCTAACTCGCCGTCTTAGTCTCAAGGAGTAAGGGCTGTGGTACACCTGCAGAATAAGTACCTTATTTGACTTGAAAATTCAGATTACAGCACGTCCTCGGAGCGAGTGCTAGACTTACTGCGTGTTTACTGATGTGTGTAATAGTTATCGTAAACATTGACCTTAATACCGTATTATAGACTGTGCCAGAGACAATATTTATACACCCGCCCCATTCCCGCTTACAGCTCTTTTAGGACCAAATGCAGATGCGTCCCAAAGGGGAAAACGCCACATTATTAAGCCCGCCGCATGAGGTGCAGGCGATAAGGTCTGGCCGGGTTCCTTGTAACCACTCTACTCTCGGAGGCGTTGGCCTGATCCTATCCTCTGTTCTTACGCTTTTGTACGCTCTTCGCCAACCTCCAACCCTTCTAGAATTTTGATAAGTTTTGATCCAACCTCAACACCATTTGTTTCCCAACGACAAGTAACCTCATCTGATATAAGTAAGTACTGCACCGGAGATTAGTAGCGCATAGCCTGGCACAAAGATAAGTACTCACACCACAAGCATTTGCCCCACAAGCTTAGCAAGTTAGCGCCCAGTTGAATCATCATATCCTTTAAATTGATAAGATCTCTGAAACACGACCAGTCTTATCCTCAATCATGGTACGTATGGGCTTTGTGGCAAACGGTATAAGCGCGCCAAGGAGGCGTTAAAAGAATTAAATTACTAATTATTTACAGACAAGCGTTAGTGACATTATTGATTCCTGGGAGATCTTGAGCTCCGATGACGACTCAGTCAGAAGTGAGTTTATTGGGCCAAAACGCCCAAAATCCGAATCCAAGGGGCCATCGCCGGAGCCATCGCTAGGGACACCCGAGCCAAATTTAGAACTATTCGCCGCCGAGTCCAGAGGGATAGACTCTACAGAGTCGTCTATGATGGATTCCTCTGTCATGGGATCTTCCAGAATGGGGTCTATCTCCACCATTGTCGCTAGAGACGAACCTGCTTCTGATCTCACCAGTGAAGCTGGCACTGATCTCGCCAGCGGGGTCACCACACCCTCTCCTTCCGCTCCAGCCACCCCTCCGATCCAAAACATAATCGTTCTGGTACTGGCTCTTCCAGAAAGATATCTGCCATCGCTGGGGAGCAAGAACACCGGGTCGTTCCCGTTTAGCTTCTCCAAGGTCATGATTATGGGGCTCTTTCTCTCCATGACCGTGACAATGTTGTTTAAGACTCCGTTCATCACCTCATATTTCCACGATAGAGCAACCCACGGGATCTGCTGGAGATCGTTGACGGTGCACGAGAAGCAGGAGGAGATCGCGCCGGAGGTTACCTTCAATGATGTGTACCTTATCACTGCCAAGTACGCCAAAAGAAGGACCGAGGTGGCGCTTGTACAGTGCAAAGTTGCCAAAGAGATGGCGAAGGACAAAACCTACGAATGGCTTAAAAACTCAATCTCCACCTCCAAGTTGGTGGAAAAAAGGGTTGCGGCTGCATTGCAAGATTTCTGGTCACGTTTACCAGCCCAATTGGACGATTCTAAGAACTTCCTTCACGAATCATGGAAGTCTTTCGACCTTCCTAATTTTAACACCTTGGCGTGGGCGGATGTCCAGCCTTATGTCAAGGCGAGATATAACCAAGCGGTGCGCCAGAGCAAGATCGACCGGGAAGCAGTGAATCAGTTGGCTCGCAAGTACTGGGGTGAAGCGAGAATGTATCTTTCCAGTTTTGGTCTGGTGTCAAAACCTGGAAAGTTTAACTTGAAATCGGTTTTTGGATGTGCTAACAAAAGTGGGCCATGCCGGAAGTTTGGTTCGTGGAAAGCTGCTTCTTGGAAGAGTTGCCGTTGTCAGAAATCCACCAAGGGCTCAGGAAGCGGTTCTGTTCCACATCCTGAATCCGGGAAACCACTCAGAAAGGTTTTTGGATTTTAATTGTATTGTGATTTTTTTGCTGATCGTTTTTTTATATCGTCTGTGCGTATTTGGTTCTGGCTGCGCTTATGAGTGCAATTCGTATCCTTCTTTTGGTTTAACTTTTGGAAATTCTCAATTTTGGTCAATCCTTAAAGTGTAATTTTAGATGTGAGGTTGCAAGAGGCGAGTTAATTGGTCTAAAGAAGGGCCCTTAAAATAAGGGATTTACTGGCGATGATCAAGCGAACTTTTGGAGCGATAGTAAAGCTTTATTACAGTCTGGTTGTAGTTTATTTAATACGTAGCAGTCATGCGCTATGTAGCCGCGAAAGCAACGCGGTTTTCAGTATGTACTATATATCCCTGTCATTGTTATGACATTTCCATTAATAGATAATGTCGGGGGACGTGGTCAGAGGAGCTCTTTGTTGAATGATTTAAGTTGGAAAACCTCCCCCTAAGGAATAAAGTGAAATATATAACCCTCAAATAGTTTCAATCTTCATAATATTCCATAATCCAGTCATCTGACCAAAAACACAGTAGCCTCATCTGAAAATCATCCTGCATTTACTCGTCATCGGTTCAGGTTCAGAAGTCTACATTTTCGGGTGCAAAACGCCCTGCTAAACCGTACCCAACCTATCCACACCAATCATTACCGTAGATATGGTTGAAAAAAGATTGTACGATGGAGACGAGGAGTCCTCGCAGAAGGTAAGTAGTTGCATCCCTATGCTTGCCATGTACTAACCTATCAGACAACATACTGGTTGAATCGGAGAAAGGCCAGAAAGACCAGCAAGACCAAGGTGCAGGTTCTGTTTAAGGGAGATCCTGAAGGAAAGCCGTTAGCAGATCCTTTTCTCCCCTTTTTGCAACTCCTAGGAGGAAAGGAGCCCCTTGATAATGTGCAAATGCGATGGAATTTGTATAACGAGTACTGGGCGAAACAACAATCGACGATCGACACAATTCTCGTAAACTCGGGTGTCCAGCTTCTCGAGGATATGAAACGGTTTGTAGAGAGCCCTTTGACTCACAAAGCAGCAAGGCTATCTACGGCCATTATTCTCCCGGGGTCCAACATCTCCAACCATACCAGACTCTTCGACCAGATTGAAGCCAGAATACTCCTGAATCCCGCCTCTAAGGTTTTACGTCTCTCATCTCAGCAGTGTCCTAACATCAGAAAGGCGTTGGCCTCGCTTGTACGAAGCTTTCAGGATCTGGTGGACGAAGTCTCACAGGGTGAGTCTGACGACGATGAGGAAGAAGGGGAAGATGAATTCTATGAGACCCCTGCAGCCAGCTCTGGTAAAAAGTTGCGGTACGATTTGGATACTCTAACTGAATGGAGCGACGGTTACTTCGCCACCGAAGGCCAGACATTATCCGACACCAGCCTAAGAATGGCGGTGTTCATTCAAGATGCCGAGGCCTTTGAGGTGAGTGTATTGTCACAGCTCATCCAGTTATTTTCGCTCCAGACGGCCAAGATTCCGCTAAAATTAGTCCTATGCGTGTCATCGTCGTTGGAAATTTTTCAAGAACGCTTTCCCAGAACCACGCTTCGCCTCTTGGACGCTACCAAATTCGATGGAGAAAACTCTGAGTTCATCTACACCCAGATCTGCGACCAGGTGTTGTTGAATCGGGGCAGCCATTCCGTCACGTTAGGGCCGAAGTTTGTGCTGAGCGTGTTGGATAAGCAGGTCAAATCGAGCAAGTCGATTGATTCCATCGTCCGCTCTTTGAAGTACTGCTACATGACCTTTTTCTACTCCCAGCCCTTGTCGGTATTAATCGGCGGGCAGAACCGCGGAAACACAGAATTGACCCAAGCGCACATTAGCGCTCTCCGCAAACTTCCCTCGTTTCAGCGACACATCGAAGGGTTATTAAAGGGGGCCGGCTCCGGGAAATTGAAGAAAGAAAAGATCATGGTACTTCTTGAGGACGACGAGGCTGTTCTCAAGCTTTTGCCAGCAGCCTATGACGACTTTTCGAGAGTTATGAACAGCGTTTTAGACCGGTTGGACTTGGTAAGGCTACTCCAGAACAACGCCGACGTCACCGTCACCCCGAAAGTTGAATTATACTATTTTGCACTTGACAACCGGCTTTTTAACTCACAGTTTTCTGCTGAAGTGATTGGTGCGTTTAGAAAAACCCCACACACGGCGGTTTTGAGATTCTTGACCCAGCTTAGGAAGCTCGGGGAAACCCTGTCAACAATCGCAGAACTCGCCGCCTTGGTCACCACTGCATTGGGCGACGATATTGACCAGTTAGCGTCTGGAAATGAAGATTGTGTGAGTGCTGCTGGGCTTACACTCAAAGGTAAGGCTGTGTTCAGGCGCATTATCGATCCGTTGTGCCAACACGTGGAGACATTCATCAATCAGAAGGTTTACGACTCTGAGAAAAGTTTTACCCTCTCTGACATTCTCTTCCATGAGCTATTCGTGATTGACCGTGACGAGCTACTTGCATCCGCCTTCAGCCCCTGTGTGAGACCCACGGTTGAGGATTCTCTTGTGGATTCACGCAAGTACCTTTTGTGTCTGGGGGGCACACCGGAGGAGTCAGATCCATACTTTGGCATCGCAATTCTCATTGACCCCATCATCAGTGAGTTGTTCAGGTTGTACCGTGAAGCCAACACGGTGATCAACATCCACGATTTCTTTATCGCGTTCCAGGAGCTCATCCCGAAGGATAAGCTCATGCCATTGCTAGTGGAAGTGATGGAAACAAAGGAGGCGGAAAGGGTGTTTTCCAAAACGGAATTGGACAGCATGTACCGGTTCCTCATGGACTATGACGATAACGCCGAGCTAGATCTCAAGTGGGAGAAGATCACCTTGTCGTGGTTTTTGCAAGGGATCAGTGAATTGTCAATGCTCGGTTTCTTGAAGGACGGTAACAAGCGAAGCGAATCGCTTGAAAAGTTGATCTGGAAGGGGTTATAAGCAATCAAAAGGGATCATTCACATGTAACTAGGCTCTCCAAAACGACGGGCGTCGGGTATGTAGTTAAGTGCGCTCACATGAGGTGTATGAAGACTAAGACTAAATTTACGGTGGCTATCCTCTTGAAGATGGTCATCTAGACCTAGGGTCGGAACGCTTAAACGTTAATCGCCAAACAAAGATATGTATCTTATACCTTGCAAGGTGGAAGTTCCTTATGGACTTTTAGTTCACCGAGCCATTAATAATGGCTTGGTTGAAACTCTACCACGTGAAGCTTGCGCGAATCGCCCGCCCTTGTGTAAATGTGACATTAAAATTGTTTCCCTTTGGATGCTATGGCTTGAAGTCCAAGAGTGTATTTTGGCACGTCAGCTCCGCCCGGGGTGACGCCGAGCTATTTCCAAAGATATGCCCTTACCTTGCACATCTCTTATAATCTACATATAGTATCTAGGTCTGTATAACTTTTAAATTTTACTTATGTTGCTTTCGAGCTGGCTTTCTCCGGCCGAATGGCAAGGTTGATCTTGGTCAAGACAAAGTAGCTGAACAAAGCCGTAAAGATGTACGCAGCGACGGTGAACGGCTTCCTCAAACGGGCGTTAAAGTCGTACTCGTAGGTGAGTAAAACGTCCGCGCTCCTCAACTCGTCAACGACATTTTCGTACACCAACGTCACTTTGGTGTGACCCTTGGTGTCAAGGTATGACAACTCAAGGAGATCCACGATCTTCTCAGAGTACGGAACGGCAGACGCCACGTCGGTCAACACCGCGCCCTCCGGTAAGTAGAAGCTGAGACGGACATTGTCGTACGTGCAGTCGCGCAAGCCCGCAAGCACCGGCACCTTCATGACGTAAGTGTCCTTACCCGCAACCCTCAAATACTGTGCCAAGTCGGTTGACCAGCCGACGGTAAAGTTATAGTGCCAGCCCCCGAAGAGCGGGAACCGCGGCTTGATGTACATGTTGCCATCCTCGGGAACCGCAGAGGTGGACACATTTCCGACCAAGTCGGTGTAGTAGAGCTCTCTAGCGTTAGGCGAGGTGGCGAGTTCCAATCCAGTGATGGCAAAGGAGTGCCTTTGCGCCATCCGCGCCTGCATCCACTCAATTCTGGAAAAGCCCCTGTTCAATGCAGACGCATCGTTTCCCAACTCGTAGTACTCCTCAAAGGAGACTGACTCCCCGGAGTGCGATACCCATACGTCACGGTTCAAGTTGTAGACACGTGGCAACGGAAAGTTGCGTTCAAAGGTGAGCGTCACGGGCATAAAGGTGAGCGGGGCGACGGATCCATCGCCGGTGTACACAATCCGGTCGCGACGGAAGTCCGCCTCCAAGTTCTGGGCGTCGTATTCGGCAGAAGCAATCTCCTGGGTCTTGGCCAACTGCACACCCATGACATCGAAGTTGTAGTTTGTGGTTTCGTAAGCGGCCAACGGAAGCTTGTACGAGCGGAACACCACCATGTGCTCGTCCTCGAAGTAGATCTTAGGCAACGCTGGGGTGAGGTGGTTGGTGTAGATATAAGTCACGCTGATCTTGATGGATGACTTGGGCGAGATAGGCACCGGCAATTGCACGCGGACGAAACCGACGTTGCCGTTGGTTTCGGGGTGAATGGTCGCAGGCACCAGCTCCTTGCCGACCGCGAGCTCAACCGAGATGATCGACAAGTCCGCAATAACATCCTGTGGAAGCGCAAAGAAGTAAAACTGGTTTGGCTGGGAACCAGTGTTGGCGATGGTGACCGTCACCTGCTCCTTAACGTATGACTTTATTAACTGCACCGTTCTGTCGTACTTGGTGTTTTTCCACACCTGAGGCGGAACAAAGTCCGTCGTAGCAGCGACCGAAAGGAACGCGAAAAAGGTAACTATAAGGTAGGCTAAGTACTTCATGGCTACACACGGTTTGTAATTGATTGTAAGGGCTAAGTGTCTGGTATCTGATATAGCGTCGTGTCTTTTTTGGCCCGTGTTACGAGCCCGTTATATGCAGGAGACGACGGTTTGGACGGTCAAGGTTTTGGCGGTGGAGATATTTTCACGAGAAAAGATTATGGTTAAACCAACTGGGAGAAAGTTGGATATACCTTAAATGGTGCTGTAGAGCGTTTATATGGGGGCTGGGTGAGCGCCTACGCGTTATGACATATGTATCAATAACAGGGGGAATTTGGAGTTCAAAGTGATGGTATAGTCAATAGAAGTAATGTCAATATTTTCGTTGTAATATATACTTTCTACGCGCCCTTGGAATTGACTATATGACATAGCCATCCTGCTAGTGAAAGTATACAACGGCTTGGAATAGCTAAATTTGTGTTTAATTTGGAAATTTGTTAGCTCTGCTTTATATACACAAAAGGCTCTTCCCCCTGGGTCTATATTTTACCCTGTGAACATTACTAAAAAAAAACAGTATATTATTTTTGCTAATCTCGTCCAAAACGGTCTGATACTGACTGAAGGGCAGGTATGAAGAAATTCCAACACAGAATCTGGTGTAAATAAGCAGCCGGTCTAGTATAGTGGTCAGTACACCTCTTTGTGGCAGAGGAAACCCAAGTTCGATTCCTGGGACCGGCAGATGTTTTTTTTCTGTTTTTACTTGTATGGAGATATACGAAGTTTATTTCCCAACATAACCCTCGGATTTCTACAGTCCAATAGCACGGACAATACCCCTAGAATAATAATGTCACCTGTATTTATTGAAGCCCCTCTAACATCCCGTCAAACTCTTCCTTGTCCCACTTCACATTCTTGCCTTTGCGCACCCAGTCCATAACTCCGTACTTATCGTAAAACCGCCTATAGAGTGGCGACACAAAGTTGATCTCCTTCTGCAAGAACTGGCGAAGCCCCTTATCGGTAATATTATAGCTCTTGTGTTGCTTTATCAACTCCTCAATGGCCGCGTTAAACATCTTGAACTTATCCCTAATCACGTCCTTCTCCTTAGACGACATTTTCCCCGTATCATTCCCCGAGATCACGGTCACGTCCATCAAGATGCTCGCGACCGACTTCCAGCCGTCCAAGAAGTAGTTCAAGAAGCGCTTGCGCAACTTTTCAAGGCGCTCGTTCCCATTCGCCCCCAAGATCTGGTCCATCTCGGAATTCTTCGCAATCTGCTCAATAAGTGTCAAGTTGGTGATTAAAAAGTAGCCCATCGTCGCGCGGTTCAGCTTGGGCACGAGAGCCTTGCACCGGAGCTCCAACGCAATCAACATGGCATCGATAAGATCGCTGAAGTAACAAGATAGCATGTCAGGGCCGCTGGTCTCGTCGATAGAAACATGGGTAAGCACAGACGAAAAAACTCCCACCCATTGTGGCTTCGGGCTGGGGATCCATGAGCCCAAAGGCATGCTCACAATGATTTCACACGCGGCACCGCTGAATTTGGAAAACTTGCGCAACCGCGACATGATTTCCACGATTACGGGGCATACTCCGTTATCCGAGGGCATTTGCAGGACCGACGCCACACGGCTATCTACGTAGCGGAACATTTCCTTGAACAAGTCGTGCGCCTGGGTGACAATGCGGTTGTGTTCTATCTCTAGCTTTCCAACTGCGTCGAGGTGGGCATCGATACGCGTGTGGGCTTCGAGCGCCGCCGAGAGTGCGTCGATCAAATCAAAGAGCATTAGTCCGTCAGTAGCCTTGTTTGTCATCGCAAACTCCGCGTTTTGGGCAACAATATTAAGGAAGGTCCTGAGGGGGGCATCGCAGACAACGCCAAACACCCAGTCGGCGCGCGTGTCGCCTAAAAGCGCCCAGAGAAAGTGGTGCTCCGCGGTCACCATCTCGCAGAAAGAGGTTGTATACTGTTTGACACCCAGTGCCCGCGTTGCGTGCACGTCCGGTGCATCGCGTGCACGCGCGCCGGCTTCGATGTGCTGCAATGACGCGCGGAGAAACTCGCGGCGTGCATCCACCACGTCCTTCTCCACACGGTCCCATGTCTTGTGTGCAATGAGGATCTTGAGGTCCTTGATTGCCGCCGTAGAGGCGAGCGGAAACGGCTCTATTGCCGGGTCGTATGGTGCGGACACCGACGCCATCGTTTCGCGAAAGCTCTGGTCGAGCTTCTTATCCGCCGCGTGCACCACCGACTTAAAGTGGCTTGTAACCCCTTTAAAGGCCCCGAGGTTGCCTGTCTCCAGGAGCACCAGCCGCGAGCGCGCAAGCGTGTCAATGTACTTGCGGAGTCCCGTCGCCGAGAGCGGGAGCTCAAGCACGGCTTCCAAGGCCGATATCCGCTGGATACTCTCATCTACCGCAGCTAGCGTCTCCAAGCCCGCGGCAATATCTTTTTTCTGCGCGATAAGCGCCTTGGTGGAGGAGATCACCGGCTTGAGGTTGGTGCGCGACTGCGAAAATTTGGCCGAGACTGTGTTGAGCGTGAGCGTGATGGACCTGACCAACGCACTGGTTGTGAGAAGGTGTTCCTCGAGGACCGTAATGTCCGCTTCGTCAATATCCATTGGTTGAGTGAGATTGGTGATGGAGGAAGAGCTGACAAAGAAGCGAGTGCAATGTCTTAAGGTGCGCGCGTGCAGTGCAGCTGTCCGTGCTCATAACCTGAGGGGTACCGTGAACAAATGGCACTTGGGACGTAGATATACGAATGTGCCTAGTGAAAGATGATGGCATATCAATGTTTAAGCCTGATAAAATGTTATATTGGTACCGGAGTAATATCTGGACAGGGGCAAAAGGAAAGAGTTAGTAGCCGGACTTGTTTCTACCGATAATACAAACCAGCGGTATGAATGAGATATTGACGACCCAAGCCAGCGAGGTATAAATAGATCGGACTATGGCTTACAAGGTAATCCAGTGGGGAGAAGTTCAAATAGATGAAGCTGGAAAATTACAAGTTACGGCTTTAGTGGTATGAATATAGAGACAGGCCTAGATACTATTTATGGAATCTCTAGACTTTGTAGGAACTTGATTCAGATGCTTGAGGACTATTTAATGGGGTTTTACCTTCCAAGTTAATAGTGCTTATATTTCCACCTTGCCGTCTGTAACGGCAGCCACTGAAGGCTGAGCTTGCGTCTCCCAGTTTGTCAACAATATTATTGGAACTTCCATCAAGAAATGGTTATGTTTTCTCATAATATTCGCGCTATATGAATAGCCTATGTCAAAGTTACCGTGGGAGTTAAAGCCCCAACCCTGCGCGCGTTTTGGCACGGTCAAAGTACAGCCTGGAGGAGGACCCCTAATTGGTCTAGCTTGAAACATATCCCCAGAAATTAATATGCTGTATCATGACAGCATACTCTGGTTATGGCCAATTAGCGGTAAAGCTCCGATTCTCGTTAATTGCTCTAATCTAATTCAGTCCACCTACATATTTCCTCTTTCTGCGTTCCCACATCACTAATCAATCTGAATCCCCTTCAGCCCAGACTTAAGGTTTAGATCCCAACTGTCAGCCGACAGATCTGGCCCCACGAAAGTTGAATCAAACGCGTCGCGTCGGTGGGCCTATCTACAGTTAAGGAAACACAAACATACGAGTAGCATAACCACTAAAAATAAGCACCCATATACTAACAGTGGCCACCTATAGTAACAATTTTGATTTTAAATCCAATAATTCATCCGCCATCCTGTCTTCTCTGTCTTCTCACATCCCGCAGTCTACAGGTCACGTGTGTCATGACGCGCATTTGCAAGCATCGGCCCGTTTTGCTAGATCAGAGATCGATACACACACCCCACTCCCTTACACGGCTATAATTCCTCACACACCCATCACTCTGCTAATCTAGCCCGATGCCAGAAATAGCCAAGTCGCAGAGCCAGCTCGCGCGGCGGCGCAACCTCCTCCGCGCATTGCTGATCCCCGACAACAAGACCTACGAGACCCTCCACCGGGACATCTTGGAAGGTGACGTAGACGAGCTGACGCGCAGCCGACGGAAGCGCCTGCTGGCAAACTACAACATCGAGGAACTCAGTCAGCACAAAGGTGTATTTGATGCCGCGCCCGCCGCACCCTTCCGCACTGCGCCTGCCGCGTCCATCGCACAGCAGTCGCGTGGCCAGCTTGTGATCCGCGTTACGCTAAGGCCGCCGCCACAGGGCGAGCTCCCGTACCGTGGCGCCGTGGTATTTCCCGACTCACTCATTGCAAACACCGAGCCTAAGGCTGCGGACGTGGCGTTGCTCCGGAGCTGTTACAAAGAAAGCGAGAGGGTTCGCAGAGAGAACACCCAATCGGTAGCGGAGATGGAAGAGGGGCGGGATAACACGGTGAAAATAGGAGATGCCGCGAATGCCGAATCGGGAGAGATTGAGAAACCTGGTTATGCAAAAGCATCGCACGACTTGACCAAAAAGGTTATCGAAGACAGAAAACCCTTTCTGACGAAAAGCTTTACAAGAGGAGTTTCTTCTCTTGCGAGAGGAGCCGCTATTAAATACATCCACTTCAACAACTATGAAATCGATACGTGGTACACCGCACCTTACCCCGAAGAGTACTCCCAAAACCCCGTACTCTACATCTGCGAGTACTGCCTCAAATACATGAAATCCAGCTTCATCCTACAACGGCATCGCACAAAGTGCGCGTCACGCCACCCGCCCGGCACGGAGATCTACCACCATGGGCACAACGCGGTGTTTGAGGTGGACGGCCGCAAACACACCACATACTGCCAGAACCTCTGTCTTCTCGCAAAGCTCTTCCTCAACTCCAAGACGTTGTACTATGACGTGGAGCCATTTGTGTTTTATGTTCTCACCGAGATTGACGAAGGCAACCACCACTTTGTGGGCTACTTCTCTAAAGAAAAGCTCTCCGGAAACGACTACAACCTCAGCTGCATCCTTACGCTTCCTATCTACCAGCGCAAGGGCTACGGCCACTTCTTGATTGACTTTTCCTATTTACTTTCGCGCCGCGAGTTCAAGGTCGGAACACCTGAGAAACCGCTTAGCGATCTTGGCTTGCTCAGCTACCGGAGTTACTGGAAGCTAAAGGTGTGTGAGGTACTCCGGCTGGTTGAAGGGGTTCCGGTATCGGTCGAGGAGATATGCAGTCTCACGGGAATGACAGCATCGGACGTGGTTGTGGGGTTGGAGCAGGTGGGAGCTCTTCTCCGCAGCCCCACTTCTGGCCGCTATGCCATCAAATCCAACCTGACGCTCATCAACACCACCATTAATCGCTGGCAGGCCAAGAACTACGTCCAGGTGTGCCCCCTGAAGCTTCTCTGGAAGCCGATTGTGTATGGTCCATCTGGTGGTATCAACACGCTCTCGTCACTTGTCACTACCCATGCAGAGCAGGGCGACGCCTCGCAGATCGTGCTCAGCTTCTTGAAGGATGACATTGCTGATTCGCGGACTATCGAGGAGCAAACGATGGAGGCTATCCGCCAGCGTGATGAGGACGACGTAGTCCCCATGGGCGAGCCTTTGAGCTGTTTTGAGACGTGTTACCCTGGCATGCCTTTGTACAAGCCTAAGAGCGCGGTCAAGCATAAGGTGAGGTTGGTGATAGTGTCTGACGAGGATGAATAATCCAGGGAGTTGCTGATGATGAGAAAGTTGCATAAAAAAACGGACCATAGAAAATTGCACCAATGATAGAGTGTGCTTCGGCTGTACTTTTATCAGCCGGTAGGTCCGTATCTTCATATATGTGTCGCATCTATCAAATAGTCATAGAGGCATTGTAGTTCAATGTCATGGTTATGTTACTTTAGGGGTCTCTGGTAAATAATGGAATGTAATGCTATAGGTCCAACCGAAAGGGGAAATAACTGGATATGACAAAATCCAAGAGGAATACGTTAGCTGAGCATCGGCATGATCACTTTTGTATTGGATAGCTAGACCTCTACCACTGGCATATTGTTATAATCATCTGTAGCTGTGTATCATGTGAGATTGAGCTCCAGGTCTTTGGGGCAAACTCTTAGTATACTTCGTACGGCCTGTTACACTGGATACAATCTATTACACCGCCTCCGTTATCAACAGATGCTACCTCTCCGCTGGCAAGAACTGGTGGTTTAATTATCATATTCGACTTGTCATTCTACCTTTATCAATGGTTTTTATCTATTGGTTGCTCCATAACCACCCGAAATGGCCCAGATTTTTGTTTTACTCCCGACCCACCATTTCTTTGGCTCTCAGAGAAACTTCTGTACTCACAAGCTCTAGCTAAAAGCTCTATTTCCTGAGTTTGCACGGGAGTTGTTCAGAATCCGCCCAGATATCGCCCAGCACTACACTCAGGACTCGCTTTTCACGCCCTGCCAATGAACATTAGTGTATATATAAAACAAAAACTAAAAAGAATTAAAAAAAAAAACCGAGTGAGGCAGTATAGCTGCAGCCTGGGGGATTGGGGAAGCAACGAGGAGAAGCTCCATACAGGCAGGGCAAAATGCAAAGCAAAACATGCGGGAATCTGCAGAGGGCCCTGCAGGGTGCGCAGCAGAGCCATAAGGGATGGAAAGATGACGATAGAAAGCCAGCAGTAATGAAAGAACCTTTGACATAAGTCCGTCGGGAACCGGTTTGCAGTCCTCAGCGAACAAGGCGCTACGCGCAGGACTACGAACAGCAAAGCTTCGCCCAGAATCCCTTCTTGGATGCTACTGACTGCACCTCCTGTGGAACCTGCGACGCCCGTACGCGCGACGCAGCCACCTCGTACTGCTCCTGCGGCTGCGCTTGTGGTGACTGTGGAATATACTCCTGCTTACTAGGAAGCGATGGCAATGGACGATTCTGCTTCACTGGCTGCTTTGGCGCCGGCTGGTGCGGTCTCGACCGCGACTTCTCTCGGTGGCGTCTGTCGCGTTCGCCTGGTGGGTTCGGATGCCCGTATCCGTGGAGATTTGGCTTTTTGTTAATGGTCGCATCCCAGCCACGGCCGCCGTTGAGGTGCAACCAGTCGTAGTCCCCGTCGGCCGTCTCGCCTAAGTCGTCCAAAACCGACAACAACAACTGGCGGTACCCGTCGTAGTCTGGATCCGCGTCAAACGGCAACTTGCGCACAAGGTCAAGGTACTGCGCGAATTGGCGCGGCAAGCCCTCGGAGAGCTCCAACACCGGAGTCGTGCGCTTCTTCTCACCAATCTTCTCATACTTTTGCTTGTTGGTCGGCGCCTTCAAGCCTTGCCACGGGAGCTGGCCGCGGAGGAAGTAAAAGAAGACATGGCCGAGCGCCTCCAAGTCGTCACGGCGCGATTGCTCACGTCCCAAGTGCGTGTTGATAGACATGTAACGCGCCGTGCCGCTCAAAGACTTCTTCTCACGGTACGGAATGTGTTGCTTCGTGCGCGCATCACGGTACTGTTTGGCCATGCCAAAGTCAACGAGATGCACGTGATTCTCGCCTGGCATGCCGTGGCGGCCGATTAAAAAGTTGTCGGGCTTGATGTCGCGGTAGATCAAATCATGGGCATGCACTTGTTCGATGAGCAGGATCATCTGGACGGCCACCTGGACAACGGTTTTCACGGAGAAGCGGCGCCCGCACCAGTCAAAAAGATCCTCGAGCGACGGCCCGAGAAGGTCAATCACAAGCACGTTGTGGAGGCCTTCCTGACCGAAGTAGTACGCGCCGGGGATGCCCTCGGTCCCGGCGAGGTGCTTGTAGGTGCGATACTCATCGCGGAGCTGCGGTGCTTCGGTCTTGCGCGGTTCGAATTTGATGGCCACCGGCACGCCGTTGATCATGTTGGAGCCCTCGAAGATGACGCCGAACGAGCCCTCGCCAATCTTCTTGCCGATTTTGTAATGGAGCCCGACGACGGTGAGCGAGCCGGAGTGCGCGCTGGAGTGTGCACTGGAGTTTGCTGCAACCGCAGCTGCGGTCGCTGGAGCCAAAGGCGCGCGCGTGGTCATAGAGCCAAAAGGTAGAGGCTAAAGGCTAATGCGTAGCCAGGGAGATGTAGCCAAAGGAAAGGCTAGATGGTGACCAAGGGTGGCTGAAATGCAAAAAAAAAAAGTCTGTGCTAGGCAATAGTCCTTCTCTTGACGATGATCCAGGCAGCGATGTATGGTAGATGAGGTGAAGAAGGTGCAATGTGTGTTGCCTGGGCTGTTGCTTTTCATGGCGATAGGGATCGGATCTGGTGAGCTGTCGGAAAAGAAACGAAAACCACAAAGTCGACGCGGGGCCGACTGCCGGAATAGGCAGCATGTGGTGTTGCCAGAATAGGCAAAGGGTGAGCGAGCCGAGACGCGTGCACTAGTCAATGCACGCGTCTGGCTCGGCTGAAAACGGCCGGATAGATGGCACAGCACCGGGAGTCATATAGTTACCGTGTTATGGGGCCAATCTGGTTGCTACCTAGCTCCGGTTGGCTGGCATTGTTTGTAGAGCCAAACGAGAGGTTTCATCCCACTCTGTAGTGGTTTGTGAGATGAAAACCAGCCTTACAGCACTAGGCACGGTCTACAAGGTTCTACATGTTTCTGATGTTTGTCACGCCAGTGTTTTCGAACGAAAAAAAAAAAAAAAAAAAAAAAAAAAATAACCCCTAGATTCCTCGACTATTAGATTTGTTTGAAATCACCTCTGTCTCGGGATGCGTAGGATGGCCAAGCCTCGAGGAAGAATTTTTTCCTTGCATACAAATTCCTGCTGTATTTCACATGACTCACTGCCTGTGGGTCCCGAGTCAGTCAGACTAAAGGAGAGGATAAGATAATGTGACGGTAATATATATTTGATAGATTATGATTGTAAAATCCAGGCAAAAGGACCCCTAGTTTCCGCTTTTGTATCGTTACTCCATAGCCAGTGTATTGGGATCGGGCGATGAGGCCGAGGACTATTTTCACCGAACCACCCCTCACGCTTATTCGAGAATATATTAATGGATAAGCAGTCTTGAGCCTTCGCTATATAGACATGCTAAATTTTCATCGCTCTAACGATATTCCTAACTATGCCCCGCTTTCACCTCTCTCTTTTCCGGCAAGTCTCAAACTTTACTACACTTTGTACGATGAAATATTAAACTTTAGCGAAAGCCGTATTGGCAAAATAATAAACAGGAATATGCCGACTCTGACGAGTAAAACCGTGCCGTATATATAACTAAACCACGATTGCCTGGTGACCTACCAAGATTTGCCTGACCTCAGCCTCTGGTGTGTCTCGGTAAGTCCCTTGATGAAATGCACTGGAACCTACTCTTGAGATTCCTCAGCGACAGCCTCAGCTGGCTCCTCCACCTCCTCGGTGTGCTCGGCGTCCTCTCCCATGGACAACGCCGCAAACATGTTGGACGCAACCGGCTCCGCACGCTTGGAGTTCTCTCTGGTGGCGACCGGGGTGGCCGCGGCAGAGACAACCTCCTCGTGCTTGTCGGCCTTTGGCTTGCTGTCTCTAGAGGATTTGGACTTGTTGAACGAATTCATCGGGCCGGATCTCTCTGAGTTTCTGACAACGCCAAAGTTCTTCAACTCGGTCAGCGAGACACGGTTGCCCCCCCAGGATGAGTTCTGTCTGGAGGAGTTCTGTCTGGAGTCTGGCTGTCTTCTTCTCTTCTCCTTGGCTCTCTCGTCTTCGGCCTTCTTTCTCTCGGCATCGTCGTGAATCTCGGCGATGGTCTTTGGCCCCTTGTTGTCGTTAACCCCAGACCATTTGGCTCTTCTCAAGTCCTGCAAGTCCATCAACATGAACTTGATTCTGGACGGAATCTTGACATGCTCGATGATGTGCGCGATTCTGTCGAAAACGGTGTTCAACACGTTCAAGTTGTTGTTTGCCTCCAACCGCTTCCCGACGGTCTGGAGCAACTGCGCGAGGTTCTCCAACGTGTCTTCCGACGGATCCTCCACGTTCTTGGACTGCCCGTCCAAGCATACAAACACAATCTTGTCGGACAACAAGCCGAGGATGTACAACTCACCGATGAACTTGACCAACCCCAAGCCTCTTCTCTTGGCGGCCGCAGCCGCGTAGTACTCATCGGACATGAGTTCTGGTTCAATAGGAGTACCGTCCTCGTTGGTAGGAAGCTTGTCGGACCAGCCCTTCTCATACTCAGACTGGCATCTGGTCAAGAGACACTTTCTGGCCAACTGCCCACCAGACAACGGCGCCCCCTCTCTGTTGACAACGGTCGTGTCCTTGACTTCGTCGCCGATCACGGTACACATCTTCGCGATCAACTTCGCGTACATGGACGACCAATGAGGCTCGTCGGTGGCCTTGGCGAAGATAAGCTCCACCACGTGCTTCAATGAAGAGGCGTCCTCTTCCCATTGTGACTGGTTCGCCACCGCGAGAATTTCGTCCGAGATCGAGTCGAACTTCTCGAGCGTCAACTTGTTGAGGTACGACTTGATCTTGCTGGCAAGCTCGGCCCCTTCGTACAACACGGTGACCCCGTCTGGTGCATACTTGACCTCGGTCTTGGCAGCCCTAGACTTTGGCACCCATCTGTTGGCGGTCTTTTCCAACGGCTTAACCGGCTCAGCCGGCTTTTCGTCCTCCCTCGGCTGATCGTCGCGGTCTCTTCTGGAGCCCGTACGGTTGGTTCTGGATGATCTGTCGCGGTTGTTTGGCTTGCGCTTAGAATTGGTGCGCGAGTTCTGTCTGGATCCCTGGTCAAACTGTTGCCCGCGGAGGTTGTTCGAGGAGTGTCTCATTGGGAGACCGCCTTGCTGGTTGAAGCGCGAGTTGTTTCTGGAGAATGAGCGGTCCGACGGCGTCTGGCTACGGTCTGGGATGACGATCAACTGCGAGTACTTTTCTCTCCACGCCTTGTCCATCTGGAAGTTGACGGCTTCCTGAAATTGGAAGAGGAAAACCGGGTCGTAGCGGTAGGATTTGCCGGTGTTACCCTCAAGGAGCTTCGGGTCTGGACCGGTAAAGCCTTCCGGGTAGGTGTGCTTGAATGGGTTGGCGATGAGGCTCGCGCGTTCGATTTGTTCAAAGTACTTGGTGATACCAAAGTCTGGTTCGACAGGCTCTTCGATGATGGCATCCACCACATCGGCGGCATCTGTCGCATCAGCGGTCTCGGTTGCATCAACGGTCTCGGTTGCATCAGCGGCCTCAGTCGCATCAGCCAAAACCTCATCCGAGGCTGGCTTTTTGATCGCAACCTCTGACTCTTCAGCCCTTTCAATATCTTCAGCGACTTCGGGCTCTTCAGCCGGGATTTCAGCTGGAACCTCGGTTTTTTCCTCAGCCTTTTCCTGTGGGGCCTCCTTTGGAGCGTTCTTGGCGGCCTCTTCGGCCTCCTTCCTTCTCTTCTTCTCCTCCAACTGCTTTTTAAACTGCTCAAGGAAGGTGCTCTTGGCGTCGTCGCTGGCCTTTGGCGCGACTGGAGCCTCGGGCTTTTCCGTCTTTTCGACGAGGGTAGCGTCCGCGGCAGTAGGCGTAGAGTTAGCGGAGGTGGCCGGCGGCTGGAAGTTGACGGTCTGGCCGTCCTTGCTCTTGATGGTCACCTTTGGCGCCTGGTACTGCGGCGTATACGCGTTCGGCGCTTGTGCGCCTGGGTAGAACGGCTGCGGGTACCCGAAGCCTGGAGCATTAGGGTAGTAGTAGCCCTGGTTGTATGGACTGTAGGTCGGCACCGGGAAGCGGCCTTGGGGTTTGTTGTAGTGATTCTTCTTGTAAGCCTGGGTGGCGTCTGGCGAGTCAGCAGTAGCGTCAGTCAGAACGGCGGCGGAGGCGACAGCCGGGATAGCAGCTGGCGCTTCGGTCGCGTCTTTAGGCCTGTTTTCGGCAGGGGTAGAGCTCATAATGAATAGGGCTAATTGAGTGGTCAGCACCTGTGTTCTGTGTGAAGGTGTGAAAAAGAGCACGGCACTGGGTAGCGTCGTTTTTGATCTCCGAAATTTTGGGCGTCAAAGCAGCGAAAAAAAAAAGCGTGAAAAACAAAAAATCGCGAGTTAGGGACGGCAGTTACTCAGACGAGCGTAAGACTCAGCACCAGAGGTGGGACCAGCAGACTGGGGGGCCGAAGGGTATTAAATTGAGATGTAGCTGTCTATTATTCGGTGGAGGCTTATTTTAATCCAAGTCGATCAAATAGGCGGTAAAGGTGGTGTGTGTCATAGGGGGTAACGTGGTGGTCTTGTCAAATAGGTGGGTACCATCTTTGATACCAGGCGCGTTTTCAATGTTGTTTGTGTTTAACTTGTAATAAAACATGTGTAGCTACATTTATGAAATACATGATGTTTACTGGGCAATTAGTTTTCTCCATAGAGGCGTGGGTGTGGATCTGGCCAGCATCGATGGTGGGGCTGAAACCCAGCGTCGTGTGTTAGACTGTGGAATGAGCGGGGTGCTGAGGCATAGCCTGGTCAGTAGGGACCTGAATGGTTGAAAATGAGTTTAGGAGAGGACGAATATCTATACGTTCGATTAATGTTGATATTTTTGAAGGATTTACCTGAGATTTTATATTTCTCCTTTTAGGTTGGGTAGAGATTTGGGTAGAGATTTGAGCAGAGATCTGGACGGAGATCTGGGCAGAAATCTGGGCAGAAATCTGGATAGAGCAGATGGCCAAAACAGCTGGCCCGTGCACGTGCTTGATTTTAAGCGCTAGCACCGTTAAGGCCTTAGATGATTAGGCCTACTGGAAAGAGCAAAAATAGGTATAGCTGTATGCTGTTGATATTTAGCACTATTCGGTGTTATATATAGGGCTTGTTTTAAGAGAAAACATTCACCCTTTTTAGCCTGTCGTCATGAAAATTTCACCTTAAATCGACTAGACCCTTATATCAGTCATGGATCAATGCAAGCCATAGATGGAGCTTCAGAGAGCATCACTTATCCCGCTCTACCTCCCTGACACCTAAACATACCCACAGCCCACATGTTGGACCTTTATATTAAACGTATACGCCATCCATAGCCTTAGGAGAACACTATAACACCAGTGGTAGCCGACAGAATTGGTTTGGCGTTTAGCAGCGTCAATGACTCCAAGTAAGTTCTGCGACTGAGCTTATCCAAATTTTATATCCTACCTCAAGTTGTCAAGCACCCGGTGGCCCTTCACGGCATACACCAACAAGCCTATCACGGTCACGATAAAGCCATACACGATAAATTGATCTTTGAAGGATTCTATCTGGAAACAACTGATATTGATAGTGTCCTCTGCTACTTCGGAGCAGATATTTGCGTATTCAGTGAGACAGAAGGACTTTGTGCAGTTCCCGCAATTGTCCACGGCAAAAATGGTGTAGTTGGAAGCACACTGGCATTTGCAGTATTGCTGGTAGGCCGCTGCAAATCCCAAGAGATAGAAAGTGGATATATATAGCACTAGCGCAAGTTTCATTGAATAAATGTGTGGATGTGCCGATGTCTGTGGATGTGCTGATGTCTGTAGAAGTGTAACACTATCGATGGTGTTAATCTATAGCATCGAATCGTTATCCGGCACCGAGAATTATATAGGTCGTGCACTACCTATTTTTCCAGATTCTGGCGGCAAAGCAAATCGGGGGAGGGCGTTACGTTTCACGGCTCGATATAAGACGGCTAGCCATTCAGTCTAGTAAATCACAACCGTATCCCTACACTCAGAAACAAGCTACAAACACAATGGCAGCAGCAGGCGTTCACGAAGGTGGCATCAGACCAGTAAGTATTTAATAGAAGAGACGAGGGAAATGGACGAAAGGGGAATGGAACCACAATGGGACGGATTGATGTTGGTCAATGAATTGGTGAATTGGGGCTACTTCCGAATGGCTATCTACAAGCGAGCTGCCGAATTTCTGGGTAGGACTAACTATACCTGGGATACACACCTCCCATGTTTGTGACAGCTCCTGGCCTTTGAGGCACGTTCCAACAAACCCAATCTTGTCTCGCAATCGATAAGTAGGTATAGGATTACCAATCACCCCTTGTTTTCTTGTTTCGTGCTTTCTCTCGTGTTCTTTCGCGTTCTCCGGTTTGCGACACTAACACTCTTAGTACTTTGAACAACAAATCCAAGATACAGAGATCAAGATCCAGTCCACCACACAGAACTTGCGCCGTTTGGAAGCCCAGCGTAACAAATTGAACACCAAAGTCAGACAGTTGAAAGACGAATTGAAGTTGTTGCAGGAGCCGGGCTCGTACGTCGGAGAGGTTGTCAAAGTGATGGGCAAGAAGAAAGTGCTTGTGAAGATCCACCCTGAGGGCAAGTATGTCGTGAACATCGCGAGCGACATTGACGTCAAAAAGTTGACTCCTTCATTAAGAGTCTGTCTCAAATCCGACTCCTACGATTTACACAAGATCTTGCCAAACAAAGTTGACCCGTTGGTCTCGTTGATGATGGTGGAGAAGGTGCCTGACTCCACCTACGACATGGTGGGTGGTTTGGACAAACAGATCAAGGAGATTAAGGAGGTTATCGAATTGCCCGTCAAGCACCCGGAGTTGTTTGAAAGTTTGGGGATTGCCCAGCCGAAGGGTGTCATCTTGTATGGGCCACCGGGCACCGGGAAGACCTTGTTAGCTCGTGCTGTGGCGCACCACACCGAGTGTAAGTTCATCAGAGTGTCTGGTTCCGAGTTGGTACAAAAATACATCGGTGAGGGTTCCAGAATGGTCAGAGAGTTGTTCATTATGGCCAGAGAGAACGCCCCGTCGATTATCTTTATGGACGAAATCGATTCCATTGGTTCTTCCAGAACTGACGGCTCCAGCGGTGGTGACTCCGAAGTTCAGAGAACTATGTTGGAGTTGTTAAACCAGTTGGATGGCTTTGAAAGCTCCAAGAACATCAAGATCATCATGGCTACCAACAGATTGGACATATTGGACCCAGCGTTGTTGAGGCCAGGTAGAATCGACAGAAAAATCGAGTTCCCGCCACCGTCTGTGGTTGCCAGAACCGATATTTTGAAGATTCACTCCAGATCCATGAACTTGACCAGAGGAATCAACTTGAAGAAGATTGCGGAGAAGATGAACGGCTGTTCGGGTGCCGACGTCAAGGGTGTGTGTACCGAGGCCGGTATGTACGCCTTGAGAGAGAGAAGAATCCACGTCACTCAGGAAGATTTCGAGTTGGCTGTGGCCAAGGTCATGAATAAGAACGACGAGAGCGCCATCTCTCTTGCCAAGTTGTTTAAGTAAAACCCTGCTGATACATTTATTTCCCTGAGGCTTTAGATTTGTATTTTTATCAACAAAAATGTTGTAAGAAGCATGTAGTGATAATTTTGATAAAAATGCAGTGCTCAAGGTTGAGAAGCTGTCAGACAATAACCGACGTATTGAAGAACTGCTTTACAAGAGGATGCCTCTGATAAACCCCATGAACCCTCGGTCTTAGACTGCCTGAGTTTTAATATCGTCTTTCCCCACTTCAGATATTGGTAAGGGGTATATATCTACAACTAAAATGATCAATGTCTCATCTAGTTGGCGGATATATGGTACTACAAGTTTATGTGCGGTTCAATTTGGGTATATATTATTCTACATTCTCATCTAAACATTCATCCACTTTTCTGCTCCTCAATCTTGATGGCATTCTCACTGAGCCAGCCCTTGATGCTGGCCACATCCTCTGCCCCACCGCTGCCGATCCCACGGTGCTTCACCGCCTCACAGATCCATTCTGTCTCGTATTGATGCTCCTCCAGGATCAAATCTACCATAAACTTCTTCCTCGTGGCTGTCTCATCCACACAAAATGCAAACCATGCGTCCTGTTGGGACCTAACTCCTCCTGGGATAAAGGGAATCTGGGTGAGCAAATCGTTCTGAATGTGCCCCAAGACATTGGAAATAGGGTCGCGAGATTTTAACCCAGAGGAGACACATTCTAAATTCTTGCACCACGACGACCCACAACCCCTTGTCGCCTGAATCATGTAACGTCTCTCAAACCTCGACTTGAGTTTTGTGTAGTCCGGATCGTAGACAGAGGAATATGACGGACCAAAGCAAATGTCACAGAGGGCATACTCGTTGACACTTCTGGTGTGGATGCAGTTTACGTTATGGCACTTGACTGGTTTTGGTTTCGCTATGCGGTTCATGTCGTGGATCTTCAAGTGCGAGGCAAAGTCCTTTTGTTTTATGGGCTGGTGGCACTTGTAGCAATCTGTGGTTTTGTTCCCGCAGTCACTTTCATGGTGAGTCAAGCCCTGGAGCTTATCCTGGGGGGTCGCCAAACCTTGCGGTAAGAGAAGGCGGCAGAACTGGCATTCGTGAAGCTTTTCCGCGCATTCCACTGCTTTGTGACGGGCCAAAGAGAAGTACTCAGTAAAGCTTTCATTGCACTGGCAGCTGTGGTGGGTGTGGAAGAGGAAGTTATGCATGGTTTGAGAATCAATTGAATCACCGGTGAATGAGTCATGCTCACAGTGCCAATGTTCTGTTGGAATAGTTTTAGTGAATATTTGTCCGCATTCACACTTGGCAAGGTTTTTCTTGCAGTTAAGTTCGTGGAGAAAGAAAGATTGGCGAGACACCAAGGCCAAACAGTTTCCACACCTGACATACCCCGCTGGAATCTCTTCGGAGCCCGTGTCTGTGTCTGGGAAGATGGAGACGGAGAATGTCGCGAGGGCTTTCTCTGGGCTTGGTGAATATTGAGTAATAAACACAGATCGGTGGTTCATGAGTAGGGAATCCGCTAACGGGATACGTATTTGCTTCGTTTCCATGTTGGACCATATAAACGTATTTGGACTGACAAATTCATCCACGGAAACAACCAAACCCGGTCCCTCTTTCAGTTCAGAAGCAATGCTTATCTGGAGTATCTCCTGTGGGCGGGACGCCACGTATTCGCTGACATCAAACTGATACTTCACTGAGTCAGTAATAGGAACCACCTCATCCAACTTTATCGCTATTTCGGAAACTTCCAGACCCTTGTCTAGCATCTTCTGTGCATTGTCATCGTTCAACGGCACAATTTCAAGAGAGACATCCGTGTCGACAATGCACACTGTTAGCGCTGGTTCCACTGTATCCACCAACAAACGGTACTCTTCTTCCACCAATTGGCCTTCAAGCAACCTCGTTTGCTTACCAGAGCCCACCACCAACACATCGCCCTGTGTTAGCGTTGTGTATGCATTGTTCAAGCGCGATTCTAAAAAGTATTTCCAGTTGGAAACCGGGTAATCGGCATCTAGCGGCTTCACAACCAATCTGGTACCCTTTGGAACCGATTTTTCACTCGACAAGGTGAGTGTGACCTCACTGCCAGCCTCTGCGCCTAACTTCTCCTGGATGATTCGGGGAAGATGGATTGCCCCTTCGGCAGCGGTGAACTCCCTGGTCCCAATAAACGTCGTCTCGCCCAGTGCGGTACTTATCTGGAAAATTAACGGCGTGGGCAACTCGGAGGACGCCTCGAGCAATTGCTCGAGCACTGAGGCCGGGAGAACAGCCTTATCGGAAAGCGGCGGTAGACTCAATGCTGGTAATTCCACCACCAACAGCGTGGAAAAGGGTTTAAACATGGTAGGTGAAGGTTTTCTTTCTTACAGGGGAGTTAGGGATGTTATTGATTGGACCGTGAATATATACAACCAGGAAATAACTGTGAGCTAAGCTGACAAATATGAGCCATCTTCCAGTCTCATCGCCACATATCGCAGTATACAGGATATTATCACCTGTACATAATTATGTCACGTGAATATCACGAGAGACACAATGTTCCCCCCAGCGTCTTCCTTGGCTTTAGAGCACATTCAAAATCCGTAAAGACAAGCCGGCCGCCACTCGGAAGACAAGTTTTAAGGTCAAGGAAATAGAACGCAAATACAATCCGAAGAACGACCAAACCATAAACTGTCGGCTATCCGATGTTAGCCTTAAAACCGCATTCTTGAAGAAAAAAAAATAACACCTCAGCGGGAGCTATGTCACGAGCATTGGAGGGTAATCTTACGCTGTTGGGTAGAAGATCCTTCTGAAAAACATTGATTTTGGTGTGATATGTTGAGACACGCGTATAAGATAGTGTCAATTAGCACATAATCGATCCCATGTTCAGGCTGAAAGTATAACACTTTCGTAAACCTTTTTCATTCCGTGACCTCCTTAAGGTTACACAAACGCAGAGGTCAGCCGGGAAAAGAGGGGATTATGCGGGCTTGGGGCTCAGGGTCTGCAGAGATGGTGTGCGAAGCTTAATGGTCCCCGCTCTTCCTGAGGTTCCAGCCTCCACTACTTTTTTTAGGTTATCATTAATATAAATTGATCAGCACAGGTCATGTTCAAAGGGTGGAAACACTCTCTGGTCTCATACCAGCTTGAAATTGCCTAGAGGCTGCGTGTTTCAGTAGATGTATTCGAGTTTCGTACCTCTAACATACTGATCATATTCTAACGGAGATACACTGATTCCCACCGTGCTGACTGAAAATCTGAATGTACATGCGGCTGAAACTGTGTATTGACTGACCGAATGCACAAGTGAGACTACCACAAAAGTATGTAGGCGTGCAAACTCCAATGGACAAGTTGGCACTTAAATGGACAGAAATCTTTCTGGAAGGGGCTCTTCAGTCCAGAGTTCAACTTCAAAAATCCACTCGTAAATCGTCGCACATGCGTGCTTGGCCATCGTCTAAGCTTGCATGGGTAGGTTCATTGAACCACGGTCGGTACAGGTTCTTTATGACGCTGTCCACCGTATTCCACAGGGCGATCGAGTTACAGTCCCCGCCTGGAACTTTGAAATCAGCCATCGGTACGCTAATATTCCATCTGGTTTATAGAATTATCGATTCCGGCGTATTTCTGGCCAGCCCGCTCTGCATAGCCTGGGGCACTCCTTACCTGCGGCACGAGAAACCTTGTAGTTATCTTTCGTCGTAGCTCTGTTCCACACCTGTCAAGACTAGGCGGGCATTTAGAGCTCCTTACAGTAGTTGGATTAGCTGCGCATTCCGCAGTACTAAATGGTCGTAATAAGCCACCGGCAGTGGTGAAGGGGAAGAAGGTCATGCGCGGTTACGTAAATTTGCCCCCCCGCATTACCCTTTTAAGTTCACCTCAATAACCGCTCACGCATAGCCTTAAGCCGAAATATGCTGGTTCCACCATTCTCCGAACGGCTCCGCCAAAAGATAACGATATTAGGAATAGTGTACTGTGGTAACTTCCGGGAAAATGGGCATCTATGACCCTGGTGAGAGGGAATTCTCTTCCGCGGTTAGTATTGCCTGTCATCGAATATGCCTTGACTAAAAGTAGAACACTTGGTTATAAATGATTTACTACTGCGTTTGTTCAACCATATTTTACAGCTCAATATATCATACCTGAGCTATTTTTTCGTGTGTCAGACACGGTGCCTTCTGAAAATTCACATAGGCAACAACATTGTGTCTACCAAAACGTGTCATCGCTATAACTATCACAGTCCCACTGATAATGCGCAGCAACCCAAATCATGCATGCATGTATGGCCAGGCTCTTGATCTAAATTCAAAGGTGCGTTGACTTGATTCAGATCACCACAATTTTCTAAATCTTATTGTGCTAATATATAGTCTTATAAATCCGCCAGTTTTGACCCCAGACTTTTTTCTTATTCCCGTACTTTATCGCAATTTTTTCTCGCCGTGTAATAAAACCGTTTCCGTATACCAGAGAAATCAATATATATAACATGACTTCACCAAGAGGCTCCTCCTCCCATCTGGTGTTTTCACCTACGTTTCAGAACACTCTTTTGACAGTGCCTTCACTGTCTATCTCTCCACCTAGGTCGGTCCCATCCGGACACAAGAGGTCGTCTTCATCGTCGCACTCCGTCCCTCGACTCGGTAACTCCGACTTGGAGCATTGCCTTCTGCCGAAACTGTCTGCGAGCCATATGGCGGACGCTTACAGGTTCGGTTCGTCCCCCATTTCAACCTCCAGCAGGAGGTATTCGAGTGACTACGAAGCTGGCCCGTATCCCGTGTACGTTCACCCGGGGCGCATCCAGTCTCCACCGTATTCACACTCGGCCTCCTCCGCTAAGCCGTTGGCCCCGCCTGATCTGCCATTCACACACCACCAGTACACCCTCAGCTCGCCGACAAGTATTAGAAGCTCGGATCCGCATCTTCGCAGCTCATCTATCCGTAGGTTGAGCAACGAAGAGATTATTGATGCGATGGAAAAGGAGCAAGACGCGATTGTATTGCGATTGACCAGAGAGATTATGCAATTGAAAGAGGAGAACAAGATGTTGAGACAGCAGCAGCACAACCACCTGCCCTCGTTCTGCCAGTCTCTGCAACACACGTTCCAGTCACGAAGCCGTTCTTCGTCCGTAATGTCCAATGTGGGTAACAATATAGCTCTGTCTGCTCGAAACAGCGTTGCGGGCGACGCATTTGGGCCTCTTTCCGTCTCTACCAACACAACAGCCCCGGGCCTGGTGTCCTCCAGCTCCGCGAGTGCAAAGTTGAGACGTGGCAGCAATTTGGGCATTAATTCAAGTGGTGAAGCCGGATTTCATCAGTCGCTACTCAGCGAGATTTGATAGATTTTTTAAGGGCACATGCTAGTATGGCAGGGAAGCCGCTAGTCTCAAATATTACCCATATGGTTGTATATATTTGGTATGGATTTATTGGATATTAATGATAATATTAACGTAGATCCAAACGTTCGTATTTAAATCCGAAAGTCCATTATGTTTGGACTAAAGGTTTTGCCGAAAGCTCAATTGGGTGCAGAGTTGGTCTTCCTCTCCTCGGGGCTAAAAAGAAATCAGCTGGACATGTTTGGGTGTTTGACTGTATATACGCTTGTTATCTACATCGCCTGATTCAAGACTGCATAGGATATGCCTAATCAGACATCTGTGGCCCTTTTTGCAAGATCAAGGCTCGCCATCTATGCTTCTCTGAAAGACGTGCATATGCATTCCCAACCCTCTGTTTGTGGCACCCAAAGCATGGCTCTCGGCGTTCTCACCCTATATCAAGCCTATGGTTAGACATGCGATAATGCAAATACGGCGGACCTCTCTCATATGAACCACTGTAATAATGCTGATAGCACAATAGAATACGATTGGCTCCATTACACAGAAAACACAACACAACCTCAGCTCGAATCAATACCTCAGCTATGAAACCGTTTACGTATTTGGCTTCGGGAATCCTCTCTGGAACGGCTTTGGGATATACACTTCCGGTGGAAGTGAACACCATGAACCACCAAAAGGCGGACGAACGCCCGCCAGAATCTCCCCAAGCGTTTGAAAGTCTCAATATCCATAACCAAGACGGAGATAAATCGCCCGTTGGGTTTAATCCAGTTCTACAGGCTCAACAACCATTTCCCGTGTGGTTGACAGAGGTTACTGGCTTGACCGAATGGCCAGGTCTCGATCCTCCCTATATTCCTCTCGATTTCATCGATATGAATGCCATTCCAAAGTTCCCAGCCCACGACTTTGGGGTATGCCCACCCGTCCGAGACAGCTGCTCGTTCGATTGCTACAAGTGTGTGGCCTTCGATGACGTTTACACGTGTCCAAAGCTATCGCAAACCTTTGACGATGGTCCCTCCCCTGCCACACCCAAGTTGTTGGATCACTTGCAGAACCCCTCCACCTTCTTCACCTTGGGCACCAACGTAGTGCGATTTCCCGATGTCTACCTCCAGATTATGGCCAAGGGGCACGTTATGGCCTCGCATACCTGGGGCCACCGCTTCTTGCCAGCATTATCCAACGAGGATATTATTGCCCAGATCCAGTGGTCGGTTTGGGCCATGAACGCCACAGGAAACCATTTACCAAAGTGGTTCAGGCCACCGTACGGAGGTACCGATGACAGGGTGAGGTACATTGTACGCCAGTTTGGCATGCAGTCAGTCTTATGGGACTTGGACAGCTTTGACTGGCAGTTGGTTTCGAATGAGCGCACGGAGACCGAGATCTATGGGGACGCAAGGGCCTGGGTGGCGAAGAGGCCCAAGTCTGGATTGATATTGGAACATGACGGGCTTATTCGGACGGTGAATGCGGCGATAGAGGTGAATAAGATCATTGGACGCGACCAGTTGACGGTTCCTCAGTGTGTTGGGGGTATAAACTATATCAAGGAGTTTAAAAAGTCGTGGTGGCGGACCCCGTGGTGAGGTTGAAAAAGAGACAGGCCTAAGGGATGGGGACTCAAATCTTTACTAGCCTCGCCTAAACTGTAAGCATTTCTGATTTTTCTATAATTTTTTTTTTTTGCTTATTTGACTTAATCATATTATCTTTATCCTCTGCTTGCTAATGAGCCTTCCTATAAATGGCTAACTAAATGGAAGATTCGGACCAGTCCGGTATAACCGTGCTGGGTAAACTCCCGCGCCATACTGTTAGTCGGTGAAGTCATAATTTAAATCCATTAAGCTTTGTTTCGGTATTGAATAGAATTTCTGGTCTGCTATATCCCCAAGTATACAAGACCTCATTTTCTGGTGTCTGTCTCATTAATACCTAAATACAACATTTCCGGTACTATTGTTATCTATGACCCTACCTAATCAGCAGAATTGTCTCAGCCGCGCCAGCTACTGCATGCAGGGAAAAAAGGTTTTGCCAAAGACAATTTGTTTCTTAACCCCATAGCACTCATCGTACAACCTAATCACCCACCAGTTAGCTCCCTCAGAAAATAAAATCCCATGAGCAGAATCTATGCGCCGCTAGCAGAGCCTCGGCGGCTCCTTCCGTTAAAGGAGATTGCGCGAATAAAATGTTTAGAAATGGCCAAATCCATATTCGACGTGGGAAACGCGCCGTTCTATCTCGTGGAACCGATTCTCCTCAAAATGACAGCAAAGCAGCTCAACTTGGTCGAGGAATCGTCGCCACACCTCCAGCAGGACACCTCGGTCATCTGGCAGAACTTGATCTGCAAGGACTTTCCCGATCGCCCGATTGTGGATAACATGTTTGCGGATGGATCGATGCGCGCCGTGCCGAAAGCTGAAACAAAGGCTGCCCGCAAAAAGTTCCGCCTCATGGCAAAACGGTCACTGGTACGCGAGCTGGGCTCCGCACCTGCCTCATACAAGGACTTGTACTACCAGTACAAACGCGAGCTAGAGGACTTCCATAAAGACTCGGCGTCGCGGTTGAAACTCGCAACGCAAAAGTTCCAGTCGCTGAAGCCGAGCATTATTGAGATCCCCACACACGAAATTATCCGCAGACCCACTGGAAGCTCCAAGCGTGCCCAGTCGCAGTCATTGTGGGCGATGGGGACATCAATGCCGCGCACCGGCGGATACATGACCCCAGCAAACAGCAACAGGTGTTCCATCATCAAAAAGGCGAAGAAAGGCTTAGAGGGTCGAAGCTTGATGTTTACCGATCCCAAGGTGAAGGCCCCTAGGGTAGGGGGGCTAGCCACGCTGGTGGCTCCGTACCTCAGCATGCTTCCGGGGTTGGTTGATAAGAAGGCCGGGCCGATTATAACACAACCACTAGCCCGGCCATCCGCACGAAAGTTCCAGCCGACTGAGTTGGCGAGAATAATGAGTGCAAAGGCCACAGAGGCCATCACTGTTGCCAAGAGTCATCGAAGCCCCATGCCGCAGGTTTCCAGCAGTTTACCAAATATACCTGTTAAACCAGCGGCGCTGCCTATCCGTGCCCCGGTTCATGGTCACATCACTGTTCCAGAAGCACGCAAGCGCCCAAAAGAGACAGTCTCGATTTTTCACAATATAAAGAGAGCACCGGTACAGACTTCAAGACCGCCGCCAGTTCCTGCCCCAAGACCAGTTTTGAGAACTGCCGACCCAGTCGTGCAACCCTCCGTCGGAATTTCCGAGTCAAGAGCAAAACAAGCGGCTGGCATTGAAATGATGGACTCTGTCAGCAACCTGAGCATAAAAGAAATGAAGCGCAAAAAAAAGGCGGAGCCTGTCGAGATGGTGACCACGTTCAAGAAGTTCAAGTCAAGTGTTTTCAAATAGGGTAATGATTAATTAATGTTGCATAGTGAGAAGTAGAGTGGGAATAATTGCCGCTGATTCATGTATAAGTTGATCGATGGAATAGTTACTTGTGGGGAGTGTTGCAGAGCATTCCCAAGGCTTGTTGTTTCAAGCTGTGAACTTGTTGCTTCAAGCTGTAAACTTGAGTGATCTGCTTTCAGCTAGAATTTTCCTTCCTTAAACTGAAGTAATGCGTGTGTGTTACGTCGTAAAATTCGTTCAATAAATTAGCCCATCCCGTAAAACATAATATCTATCGATTTTTTAGTCTATTCGGATCTGGTTTATTCCATCTCCGGTAACTTGTTTATATTCCGAAATCTCGAGCTCGCACTGGACCAATTAACCCTACCCCCAGTGCACTAGTCCTGCAAAATTATTTATTCTAATATACACGGGCTTTGCTCAATGCTTTGCCAACTCCTTCTGTCTCTTCATGAGATTTCCGCTGGGAGTGTCACCCAACTTTCGGCGCTTCGGAGCGTCTATCGTCGCGCGCAAGCTCTCGTACTGTCCCACAATAACTGTCTGCTTGTAGCTCTGACCACGCAAGCGCCCGCTCAACACAACCTTGCTCGGGACCTCGGTCATGGCGGCCTTGCACCGCGAGTGGTCCAAATCAAGCAAAATGAGTAAGTTGCACACGTCGAAGCTACCGCGGCACTGCAAGGGGCTGGCAGCGCCCGAGGATAACACCAAGCCGCGCGAACGCGACGCGCGGATGATGCTCGCGGCGTTGTTAAAAAACTGTCTGCGCGACTGCAGCGCGGCCGTGGAAACAGTCACGCCGTCGGCGTAGCCCGCGGGTCCTGCGATGGCTGGGCTATATACGACCTCGAACTTGATACCCTTCTCGATGGCTGCGCCCACGGTCTTGTGTCTCAAGAAGCAGGGCAATCTCTCGGCGTAGTTGAACGTGATGATGTCGATGTCCAAATTGGTGACCGCCAAGAGCAATGCCTTTTCCGTGCGCGGACATACGGCCACGATATCGAACGCGGAGCTGAGCTTTGCCACGCCTTGGCCCTGGGACGGGTCATCAATGAGGAGAGTAACCCGAGTGAAAAGGTTCAAGCGGGTCTGGAACTCGCCCACAAGCGATAGGTCGATAGGGTTAGGGTTTTGCGGGATCTTGGCGCCCTGTTCCACGATGAAGTTGAGCGCGACGTGGGTGTAGCCGAGCTCCTCCAACATTGCAAGCGTGTTTTTGAGCGTCACAATCGCCTGGGCCGTTGGCGGGGCTGTGAAGGTGGTTTGCGGCCACGGCACGTTCAAATCGAATAGCATAATGAGGAGGTTTGTGCGGATGAAGTGTAACGGCATGGTGAAAAAACGTCTAAAAAATTATCGTGCAGGAGCGGAGCTAGAAGGGGATAAGCGAACGGCGAGTCATATCGGCAAGTCATATCGGTCCCGCTCTGTTGAGAAGGGTGATTGCTAAGATGGAGAATTATAGTTTGGAAAATGATACAAACTGAGGCTCCACTAATTCCTTTTAGAGCTTGAATGGCAGCTGGTGTAAATCTTTCGTGGCTCGCCTATGATGGCGAGGCTTCTGTGGACGTGCAAATGCTTATACTCGAAAGCCCATCCAAATATATCTAATGTATTTTATAATCGATGCTTTACCCAATATGCTTTCTCAGTCCAGCGTCTCAGCCTGGAGTCAACCGTCTTACCTATTTCTCCCAGGTCAACTCCCATACCGGCGTGTGCGGAAGCGCCACTGTGGCGTCACTGTGACAGAGCTGCAGTGGCGTTGTGGCGCAACCTAATTGGGCATAGCGGGGGCGTACGACATCTCCAGCCTGCCTCAACCGATCTTCCATGGTGTTCCACATTTGTCATCAACTCCGCCACTTTGCCACTGAAAATATATATAAAGAAAACCCCATTTCCGTATACAACCCACCGTATCCCTAGTCTATGGCATACGTCTACCAAAAACCACGTCATGTTGTTATCACCTTCACCTAAAGACCAGTCCATCATGGACATTGGCAAGCACTGCCAGTACTGCAACCAGCTCGACTTTCTCCCATTCACATGCCCCCACTGCAAACTCACGCTCTGCTTAGATCACCAAAAGGTCGATGCCCACAAATGCGCCGAAAATCCGTTCGAAAAGACCCGGTCGGTGTCTCCGGTGTCTCATTTACCCTCATCCAAGACGCTCTTTCCGGATAGGTCGAAGCACAAGGAGCAGCTTGACAAGGAGATCGCATATCTCCAGGCAAATCCTAAGCCCACTTCGCTAGCGACGTCCAATTCCACGCCATTGCAACGGGTGAGGAAATTCCTCTCCAAGAGTAAAGATAAGAGCACGTTTAAAGGAACGGGCATTTTCGGGATCAAGCTCGGCAAAGCCAAACCAGAAACTACTCCTATTGCCGTGTATCCCTCCACTAAGGAAGTTCTAGTGCTACGGAGAGAAGCCAAGGGTGACGCTAAGGTGTTGGCGGCGGATAGGGTCTACGTCTGGGCGGTTTTCGTTCCGGATGCGGGGTCTGAGGCGGTTCGGGAGACGATACCGCTCTGGATCAGCAAGAAATGGCCTGTAGGACGGGCCTTGGATGCCCTCGCGGCGCTGCTCAAGATCAGAAACGTTAATAACTCCGTCACCGACAAACTGCAGCGGTTGACCATCTGCCGACAGGCCCGGAAGGGTGAGAAGCGGATTATCGATGTGGACGATGACGGCGAGTTGGTAGAGGTGAGCACTTCGGGGCGCTGTGAGCGCGAGTTCAAGGACGGGGATACGTTGTATGTGGTCAGAGGTGGTAATTCCTGAATATGAGTGCTGAATGGGTTCTGTGCCATCTTGAATTCTAGAGAAGTTTTAGATGGCACTAAAGGTGTAAATTAGAGAGATAATAGCTCGATAGGGTTTTTTCTGTAGAAACTATTGGCATGTTTCGGATCCGGGATGGTTTAGTTTTCTTTGAAAGGCTGAAATCGCATGTATGAGTTGAGCTAGAATCTGTGGGTGGTCATTATAAGGGTTGCCTAAGGCCTAGTTGTTAGGTTTAATGTGTGTCCAGCAGAGGAGCGGTTCAATACGACCTAGCCATCGAGGGGGATGCTCTGAGTGTCCATATTGACTCTGATACCTGCTTACAGCCTCCGCCCTTCGAAGCCCCAGCTCCGCCCAATTAATTGTGGTTTCTCAGAATGATTCAAGCACACTCAGTAGATAGTGTAATATTCGTATTTCGCTTGCCCTGATTATTTCCAAAAAAAATTCTATACCACAGATCTCCAGTCCAGTACCAAAGCCACTGGTGTCTATCCTATATAACGCGGTCCAAAGCGTGCACAGTAGCCTGAGGAAGAATGCTTTCGGGGCCACCAACTATGCACAATTTCGCATGTACCTACCTTCCATCTACAGTTCAATGGCGGTAAATGACATGCAAAAATATCTTTAAGGCAGTGGTTTACGTCTCAAGCCCCTTTTGGCGCCGGCAGTATTGCCTTAGAACAGTGGCTCTTGGCGCCTGTCCTTAATAAATCTGCTTGGAGATAGATAAAGCCTAGATCAAAGCTAGCATTTAATCATCCACAAGCGGCTGCCCGTTAACAGTGCTTGTAAAGCATATGGTTATTCTCTCGGTATGACCCAGCACATTCTTCTTGTCTTCAGTGAAGGATCAACCTTGTCGTCCCATAACACACAACACAACATGGGCACATCACGGAACACACCGTTGTAATCTCAATATGGGTATCAAGATATCAAGCATTCAGGCTATCGATAAGTATCGAAGTATATCATATCCTCAGGATCCTAGTGATCAAAACATCACACCGGAGTATCAGAGTACCATCACAGTACAGCACCCTCGGATGGCATCCAACATGCCTGCATTGTCTCACTATCTGCAATCCAGCTCGATAAATGGTGCAACTTGTATATCAACATAGGTTGCAAAGTTGTTTTTCAGTCTAAAGCGCCACACTCTTCTCACCAATACTCGACGATCTTTCACCTAATACCGGCGCCTGGCCGTAGGATGCGATCGGCGCGGGAACTCCGGCCGCCGAAACCCCCTCGAGCATGTCGATTCTGCCCCAGATGTCGCCCTCGGAGCGAGTGGGAAGCAAAATGCTCAACTCGGCAAACGAAAGTTCGCGCTTGCGTCGGTACAACAACAACTCATCTTCGTCCTTCAGCCAGGGAATCGCCGGCGCCATGACCAACGTGCTGCCTAACGAGGCATTCGCAAGTGAGTTGCGGCGCAGAATATGCTTCAAGGACAACAGATGAGAGTGCTCTAGCGAGCCTAGCATCCCGAGGGACGACACACCGTGAGAGTGGGAAGGCCTAGCTGGCTCTGTGTTCTCGCTCTGTTCATCGTACAAACGACCTGCGTGTTGTTGGTAAAAGAGCGCAGTAGCTTCAAGGTCCGCCTGGGCCTGCAGGGGGGTTATGCTCGCACCACTCCACGGGAGAGATGGGCGGGGATCAGAACGAGAATCTAAGACTGGCGCCCGCTCCGGAGGGACAGACGCGGACATACGGCGCTCAGATGCCTCTGACGACTGGCGAGAAGTCACTGAAGTGGTGCTGGACTTGAATTGGGGCAACTGCGACAAGTTTTGGGCCTGTTGAGCCTCGGCAGCCCTCGGTGTGGATGTATCCTGGGCCGCAGAACGCGCCAAGCCTGAAGGTGCGGGCGCAGCGGGCAGTGTCTTGAGGGCACCAGAACGAAGACGTCTCCAACGGAACTGGCATGCATTTGGGGTGCGGTGGGAAAAATGTGCGGCGATTTCCTTCCAGCCCAACTTCTGCGTCTCTTTAAGGTGGCGCAAGAGGAGATCGTCTTGCGGGTCCCACGACGACGGGGTGCGCGAGAACACGCGAGTCAACTTGAGCTCAGACATCTTGCAGGGTTAGTACTGGGGGATAGGCAGGTAAAGGGATGTAACGGCGCGAGGCGGTGGGTTATCCGAGGACACTCTCAAGAAAACTAAAAAGTAACATACGGGATATTCTTTCTATGTATTTTCTTCGGTCGGGGATGTAACGGTAATGATTGGAAGGGAAACGTCACTGGAGTTGGCTGCGGTGGATGCTGAAATGAGAAAGTGTGAGCTCGTGTGTCGCGTCATTTTGATCTCTTGTCGTCCAACGTGGTTGAGGACGCGCGACCGAAGTTTGGTTGGGAGCCCCGCGCTGCCCCGCGATGAGCATCGCCTGCCGTTTTGAGGCGATACTAATTATGTGCGTGTTAGTATTGTGCCGTGCGCGTTACCCGTTCGACACATGCAGAGTCCGAGATGTAAGCCGAAGGTTGCGCCGATCTGTGAGATGATATTAATACGGGAGATGCCGTGATTGGTTTAGGGAAGGGACTATCTGGGGTTATTGTACGAGATTAAGAAGGTATGATCCGCTCCGCGGGTTAACCCAAAAATGGTATTTTAGGTGCTTCTACTAGTGAGATATCTGGCGTAGCCTTGGCTTAGCCGGTATCTTTATCCAGCTGCAGGGACCCGCTTCAGCCTTGAATATTAATTAGACGGTTGTGACCAAAACTTATTTCAAGGTCTTTGGGGGTGTAGTTTTCTCCGGTACCGCAGCCCTCTGTTGCGTTTGCTTTAATTGCAATTATTGTTAATACACATAAACCTGTACCGCTAAGGTTTCGGTCCCTATAGCTAAACAGAGTGAGCGGTACAGGTACCAGAACATGACCTCGGGTCCGCTATTCTCGGTTACAACTAGGATGGGATGCCTCATTGTCAGAGAGCTAACTACGCGCATGAGAGAGTCCTTCGGTGAACATATACTCTCGTGCTATAGCAATACACTTGCGTTGGTTTTTATCACTGCGATTTATTTACAAAATTGTATCTTACCGTAGTAGACTAGTGCTATTGCAAGCTTTTATGAAATTCTCATTCTTGGCTGTTCCACGTATTGAGTTTTAGCCGGGTGCTTCTGTGCTACATCAGGTTGTGGAACATTCTCTCCTGATACGCTAAGAGTATATCTCCTGGTAGGTATCGTTTACATTGATATATCACACAAAGGATATATAATAGTTATAAGCTAAGATCCATTAAATAAAAAAGGTGATACCTCAACACGATCTGTAAAACACTAATATAAAACCCCTAGATATTGACAGATCCAAAGTTCCGGCTCATCCTTCTAGACATATAGTAATAAGTACCACCGCTAGCAGCACCCATACACGCAACAAACAACAGAATCACCCAGCCCTTGTATCTCAAAAGATGTTTAACATTCTTCAAAGCAGAGGTCATCCGGGAATCCTTCTTATACTCGCGCGTTGGACGCTTTATTTCATCGTGGAACCAGTAATCTTCATAACTGTATAACAATGCACGCGCTGGTTCACCTTCGTGTCTATACCTATGTGATCTCATTTCTTCTACTGTGTATCCGAAATGGTTTCCGTCCTTCGCTATGCTTACCAGGTACTCCATCTCCTCCTGGCTCATTCGCCCCCCTTCCAAATATGCCACCAAGAATTTTTCTTTATCCGCGTTCACTGGGTATGTTTTAATCACTTCAGTAGTCTCAATCAAGGGCTTAAAAGTCCCACGGGGAATCCGGCGAAATTCCCATTCAAGGAATTTCGGGTTATAACGTAAGATCGGCCCTTCCGGTAACACCAACCACCGTTGATACTTGCCATTAATTCTGTACTGTACGGAATTAGCGACAGATTCCAACCCAAACAACTCTTCAACGCTTAGTAAATATGGTTGTGGGTCGTATTTCGGTCCAACGTAGTCTGACAACGTTGAGTTGATAATGAGGTTGGCATAACCAGTGGCAATTTGAGCAGCCGTGGCTTCCTCATCATAAGTGTATGCGTTGACCACCAAGGCCAACACAGAGGTGAAGATTACAATGGATAATGGATTCATAGTAGGGGAAAAAAGGTCATTGACGCTCAAAATTAGGGAATTTACGTTTGTTTTATAGACATTTCAGCAGTAAACCTTAAAATCACCCCTAGCCTTATCGGGAATTACGGCATACGGCTAGTTACGACGCACATGCATGTACATGAATTATGTATAAAGCTTAGTGTGAGTGACTGCGACAAAAGACGGAAAATATTCTATAAACCTGCCAACGTATAATATAAGTATATTAATGCCGATACTTTTAATAGTTCAGGTTGGGTGATTACTTGCTTGGAAAGGCTTAATCTGAAAGTACCATACCTGTAGAGCTGCACGGAAAGCTACTTTTTCAGTTAGTACTGGATGCACTAGCTGGATCCGGAAACTCGTCTCGGTAACAGGATGGAAATTGAGTGATTTTGTTGCAGCTATATACATGGGTCCTTTCAGTTTGATGTGCACTAGACTATAAGT